TGTGGAGCTCTGTTATACACACAGACACATTACTGGGAGTATTATTGCTGTGAAGCTCTGTTATACACTCGGACACATTACTGGGAGTATTATTGCTGGGGAGCTCCGTTATACACTCAGATACATTACTGGGAGTATTATTGCTGTGGAGTTCTGTTATACACTCAGACACATTACTGGGAGTATTATTACTGTGGAGCTCTGTTATACCCTCAGACACATTACTGGGAGTATTATTGCTGTGGAGCTCTGTTATACACTCAGACACATTACTGGGAGTATTATTGCTGTGGAGCTCTGTTATACACTCAGACACATTACTGGGAGTATTATCACTGTGGAGCTCTGTTATACACTCAGACACATTACTGGGAGTATTATTGCTGTGGAGCTCTGTTATACACTCAGACACATTACTGGGATTATTATTGCTGTGGAGCTCTGTTATACACTCAGACACATTACTGGGAGTATTATTGCTGTGGAGCTCTGTTATACACTCAGACACATTACTGGGAGTATTATTGCTGTGGAGCTCTGTTATACACTCAGACACATTACTGGGAGTATTATTGCTGTGGAGCTCTGTTATACACTCAGACACATTACTGGGAGTATTATTGCTGTGGAGCTCTGTTATACACTCAGACACATTACTGTAGTATTATTACTGTGGAGCTCTGTTATACACTCAGACACATTACTGGGAGTATTATTGCTGTGGAGCTCTGTTATAGACTCAGACACATTACTGGGAGTATTATTGCTGGGAGCTCTGTTATACACTCAGACACACTGGGAGTACTGGGAGCTCTGTTAGACTTGATGGGAGTGCTGTGGAGCTCTGTTACACTCAGACACATTACTGGGAGTGTTATTGATGTGGAGCTCTGTTATACACTCAGACACATTACTGGGAGTGTTATTTCTGTGGATCTCTGTTATACATTCAGACACATTACTGGGAGTATTATTGCTGTGGAGCTCTGTTATACACTCAGACACATTACTGGGAGTATTATTGCTGTGGAGCTGTTAAACACTCAGACACATTACTGGGGGTGTTATTGCTGAGGAGCTCTGTTATACACTCAGACACATTACTGGGAGTGTTATTGCTGTGGAGCTGTTATACACTCAGACACATTACTGGGAGTATTATTGCTGTGGAGCTCTGTTATACACTCAGACACGTTACTGGGAGTATTATTACTGTGGAGTTCTGTTATACACTCAGACACGTTACTGGGAATATTATTGCTGTGGAGCTCTGTTATACACTCAGACACATTACTGGGAGTATTATTGCTGTGGAGCTGTTATACACTCAGACACGTTACTGGGAATATTATTGCTGTGGAGCTCTGTTATACACTCAGACACATTACTGGGAGTATTATTGCTGTGGAGCGCTGTTATACACTCAGACACATTACTGGGAGTATTATTGCTGTGGAGCGCTGTTATACACTCAGACACATTACTGGGAGTATTATTGCTGTGGAGCGCTGTTATACACTCAGTCACATTACTGGGAGTATTATTGCTGTGGAGCTCTGTTATACACTCAGACACATTACTGGGAGTATTATTGCTGTGGAGCTCTGTTATACACTCAGACACATTACTGGGAGTATTATTGCTGTGGAGCTCCGTTATACAATCAGACACATTACTGGGATTATTATTGCTGTGGGGCTCTGTTATACACTCAGACACATTACTGGGAGTATTATTGCTGTGGAGCTCTGTTATACACTCAGACACATTACTGGGAGTATTATTGCTGTGGAGCTCTGTTATACACTCAGACACATTACTGGGATTATTATTGCTGTGGAGCTCTGTTATACACTCAGACACATTACTTGGAGTATTATTGCTGTGGAGCTCTGTTATACACTCAGATGCACTAACAATATGGAGTTTATATAAAGGAGGGGCATTAGGATAGAACAGAGGGATCTGGACCCAAAATAGGGACTGTCCCTCCTAAATAGGGACACTTGGGAGGTCTGATTTGGGAATTTAATGTTTAAGGCCAAAATAGAGAAACTGGAAAGATTCCCCAGTCAGCTATGCTTCCTATTCAGCTATTTTGGCCTTATTACATTTGAAATTCACTTTGAGCTGACTTTAAACTCCCAACCATTCTCAGTTTAGTAAATAAGCCTGCGGTTGCGACGACCTCATCATTCTTTAAAGGGATTCTCCAGTGCCAGGAAGACATATTTGTTTTCCTGGCACTGCAGGACCCTACAGTGCCCCTCTCCCTCCCACCCCCATCCCGAGTTGCTGAAGGGGTTAAAACCCCTACAGTGACTTACCAGAGTCCAGTGCCAATATCCCTCGGCGCTGGTCAGGCTCCGCCCACTCTCCTCCCCCACCGTCGTCAGCCGGCATGGGAGACCTAATGCGCATGCGCGGCAACGGCCTTGCACGCGCATTAGACCTCCCCGTAAGCAAGCATTATTCAATGCTTTCCTATGGGATTTCGGCAACGCTGGAGGTCCTCACCAGTGGTCTGTGCGCCTGGAGCATCCCTTTAACTCTTGCTTCGTTTCATTAACTACTATTCCAGTGAAAATAGGAAACTGGATGCATAAACAGCAACACAGACACACTGACCCTGAACAAATAAACTTTAGTGAATCAATCAGACAAGAAAGAAAAAAAAAAACAACGGCATATTGTGCAGATAAACAAAGAAGCTGATTGGATAACGGCTTGATCAGGGCCCTTTATAAAGCAGGGGACTTGGCTCTTTCTCATTTCTTGGGTGGGAATTCTGAGAGGAGGTTCTATAGATGTAGCACAGCTGAGTGACGAGTTAGACAATGTGTCTCTGTAAAGATTCTCGCTAGACCTGCAGGGACTAGTTACTTGAGAGCATGTTGGGGGGCCACTGGGGCATTTTGTTAACAAGCCTGAGAATTGGAAAGTCACTACAGAAGAAGTTGGACTCCATTTCTTATGAAAAGCACGTTCTAGGGGGTGGAGGGTTTAGAACATTGAACTCCCTTAATTTAACTGGGTAAAAGCAGCAATGCTGCTAGGGTACAATATCTATGTAGCGGGTGGTATTACTGTACCCGTCTCACAGGATTAGAAATGGAATGGAAATTGTATCTTGTGCCTTTTTGTAAAATGTTACCCTGGGCCTCTAGCGTAGAGCTTAAAGGGACAGCTAAGCCTGGAACTTTTTTTTTTTTTTTTTTTAAATGCATTGAATAGATGTTGCATGAAATTAAGAAATCCAAAAGACTATCACAGTATGTAACTGCTGTCTCCTAGCATTTACAAAAACTGCAGATATTTTTCTAGGTGTTGTCTTTATCCAGTAAGTCAAACAGGTCTTTAAGGCCAAATTGGGAGTTTCTGCAATGTGAGCTTCACTTATCAATTGCTCTCTGAACTATGGTTCCCAGAAGGCTTTGCTAGGCTCCCTGGTTATATGAACTGCTGCTATTGGAGAGACAAATGTTGTCTTTTTAGAATAATAGCGGCACAATAATGCAATTTTTTGTTTTTAACTCTCTTGACCACGCAAATTATAGAATACATAAGTATTAAGTATAGAAGCCAAATGCATGCAGTGTTTGGAATGTTCAAGGTGTCCAGTAGTCTGTTTTATTAATTGGAAAATTACTTCACGTTTTTCTTCACTGACACCTGGTTTACGCACTCCATAAAATGTCTGTCTGTTTAAAGGAATCTCCATGTAGTCCCCAACAAGATTTATCCCATTGCTTCACAGATGCAGTTCACCTTGATCATTTATCACACACAATTTACATGTTGTATATTAAAAAGGTGTGACGTACTGGACCTCAGAAAAGGGTAAATTCAGATAGTTTTATAAAAAGGTGGGGGGAGGTGAAAACAAAACCAAAGTTGTTGGGAGAGGTCCTTTGTCATGGGAGACTAAATGTATAATTACATCAAAGTTGAGTTTTAACTTTATCGTATCTACTAATTGTACAAGTTTAAGCGCATGGGTGGGTTTGGGTCAGGCTCAAGATTAATATCAATTTCCTAGAAATTTAAAGATGGTAGGCTGTAAGATGTGTAATCACACGGTTATCAAGCGTGGCTGGATAAACCAACCATCAAAGCATCAAAAATGTAATCATAAATACTTTGGGAGTTTTGAGATTTATTAATTTTTTTTTTTTTTTTTTAACTACCTGGGTACAAGTTAGCCAGGTTAATTGTTTCTGCATATTGCAATGAAAGTTAGAATAGACATAATGAATGTATACATGGATATATTTTATATATTCTTGTAGTATTGCTGCAGATAATACATCCACACAGTCCGACATTAACATCTGCTGCGTCTATTACTGGCTGTCTCAATTGATTGATAAAGTAAAATGAGAACACAGTATAAGTAAAGGGCGGTGAAAGCAAAATAAACCAGGTGTGCCTCTCCTTGGAGAATTCAATCACAATAGTCCCATGGGAAAATCCTCCAACACTCTGGTTCCATTTTTAGCCATTTCTTTGATAGAATAGGAAATCCTGAAGGAGAAACAGATGAGTTAAATGTGTGTAAGCATTGTTTTAATGATGGTACATCTGTGCTACTTGTATGTATAATAATGTATCCATAATGCAAATGTGTTCTAATGACTAGAATGGCATATAAACAAGAGGACAGTCTTAAATTAGAGGGGCAAAGGTTTAACAATCAGTAAGTATTACTTTTACTGAAAGGCTAGTGGATGCATTGAATAGCCTTCCAGCTGAAGTGGTAGATGTGAAAAAGAGAGGGAGTTTAAGCATGCATGGGATAGGCATAAGGCCAGGGACTAATTAAAAGTATTTTTTGAAATATTGGGGAGACTAGATGGGCCGACTGGTTCTTATCTGTCATTAGGTTTTAGGAAGCTGTAACAGTGCGTTGGTCTCTACACTGGATTGAGAGGGAGGAAATGGACATTGAGAGCAGTAGAGTCTTAACTCTATTTAGCCCAGATTTGCATTCATACAAGTCATGATTTTTTTATTTATTTTTTTGGCAACATGGATACAGCAATATTTAACAAGTTGATGCCATAGTGGAGACTATTTGTAGTCTGTTTTGATGTCTTGTCCTGATATCTGATTCAACTTGATGTTTTTTTTCTAGGGGTCTACTTGTAGGGACATATTTATTTAGTTTAATTGTCAATTGTTTATTAAAAACCTCTCAACAAGATGGTTTCTGAAAGAACAAGTTAAATGCCACAACCAAAGGTTCTACAGTGGTTATGGTGGTAGGAAAGCTCACGGAGTATAGGTAGCAAAATAATTTTGGGTGCACTTGAACAGATACAATCAATGTAAATGGTGTTGGAAAAGTAAACTCACAAATAAAAGGCCTGTACTAAGCAGGAGAGCTTTCAGTTTCACGTCCAGGTCCAATGGAAACTGGATCTCATAATCTTTGTTGTATGTGCACATACCCAGACGCAAAAAACGCATGTTAATCATCCCCACCTCTGATCTCTGCTCTACGGTTTTTACCTAAAGTAAGGAAAATAGATGTGACCCCAGATATGAAAGATCCCATGAAACAGGCAGACCCTCATCAGGTCTCCAGTGAACAGTCCATAAAGGGGAAACTCCAAGTTAGTGTGTGTGTGTGTGTGTGTGTGTGTATATATTTAAATAAAAACAATTTGGACTAGGTGTTAGTATCACTAATCGCTTAGCAAGCAATTTTAGCCTGTGACTGTCCCATGTATTTGGGATACTGTAGGATTGCCTAACCCAAAGGGGTTAAATCCTAAATCTGCTAGTGGGTTGGTAAAATATTCTGCATTGGAAACACCTGTAGGCTCACATACTGCATTTCTGTTAATAGACCACATACATCCATAGTCATGCATTCCCACAAATACATGCTAAACTAGACCATTTATACAAATTATATCAAAATAAAACTACAGGATTTACACACCATGCGTTCTCATTATGAACTCGCACCATGCTGGACAAAATACACACAGCCACACTTACACTAGACTTAAAACAGGGGTGATCTGTGATAAAGGGATAGGAGAAACTGAGGAATTCACAATTGAGAATGGAGCATGTGGTCTGAACTGGTACGCAAATCTGGTATAAGTGACTTGGTAAGCCAGGGATGGGGAAAGTTGGACAAGTTTATATTGTGCTCTAGAGGGCTCCAGAACACAATAACTCACACTAAAGTGTTAGGAGTAATTTGTCTCCTGTGTAACGCAGTTTTGAATCTACATCTTCTCGTCTTTGATTCTTTGAAAACCTTGACGTGTGTTTTACAGGAACAGTTTTTTTTTTTTATATAAAACAAGTGAAAATAAAATTTTATTTTTTTTTTCTGATCAAATGTTGAGTAGGCATGCTTTAAATTGCCAATAAGTGTACAAACTCTAAAATGCCTTGCACATTTAGACAAACTCATTTATATTTTTTTTTCTATAACTTTGTGTAAATGTGAGACTCCATATGTCTGCTGGGAAGGAGTTTGCTGTGACTTGCAATGGATAGTTTAACGGAGATAAATAAACTTACTTTAAATGAAAGAGGTGAACATAAGCCCATGGTTCTCGTTACCCGAAAAACATCCTGATTGTTTTCATTTTGGATAGTAAAAGTGGGTCGACACAGACTCCAGTTCTGGATTACATAACCAATAGTTGTTCCTGGAGGAGACTGCACTTCAAGCTACGTACAAATGGAAATGAAGAATAAATTGAAGAGTAATAAACATCTGCTTAATTTACAAACTCTCTAACTTCTGAAACCTACAGGTTAACAGGGTCACAACATTCCAAACCTTTCTCTCAGTGAACTAATGTGAACTTGCAGTGTAATATGTAGTGTCTGGAGTATTTGTGTTGATGTGAATAGCCAAGTGCTTTGCTTATCTGCATGGGTACCACTCTAAGTGCCTTGTGCCACATTTAAAATTCTTAATGTCCTATGGTAGTGGATAGCATGGTGCCAGGGCTTGCATTGTGAGGATAAAGCAGTATACCAGTGCATTCCCAATCCAGCTTGGATGGGAAACTTGCCAGCTGCCCCTTGCCTGCACCTGGCTGTCAAGCCAATAATTTCCTAATAACAGGAGTGCCACCCAAGCACTGACCTTCAGTATTAACCCAGTTTTTAAAACTGCTTAACACCATAAGGAAATCTGAAGCCAATGGACTTAGAACTGAAATTAAGTTCAGGGGCTGAAGTGAGCCGGCATGTTTCCAAACTACCTGTTTGGTGTGTAGCGTGACTTGTTTCAGAGGGCTGACAACCACTGATAAACAGTATTGCTTACACTCTGTAGACGACATGTAGTAGTCCAACACCGGAGAGGTCTGATTAACCTGATTACTTCACAACCCAGATTGTCACTTATTGTCATGGTGAATGGACGTAAGCCACCGAAGAAGTATTTATTGCAGCAATTGTTTTCTTCTGTAGCAGAGTAAACCTGCTGACCAGCAATGTCTTTCAATTCGTATTTATTGTATTTTGTACATAATGGACAGTCTAAAATGGAAAAGGAAAACCATTATGAATGTTTAACAAAGTTCAAATCTAGAAGGCCCATAGTATTTGGTGAGGTGAGTTTGCATACATCAAATGTCTGATCCTCTGACTTTCCAGAATCTTAATTTTATTACCACTGGTCCTACAAGTTCTTGTAAACAAACATTCACCGCTCTATATTAAGTCTAGTCTACTAAAATCCTGAATTTTAAAAAATGTCTATATAAACCTATTTAAGTCACTCAGCTGGTTTACATACTTCCTACATTGATGGCAGAGGTACTCAACCTTGCCACCTACTCCAGAAGTCTCCGATTGGCCCACATTTATGCACCTCCAAGATGCTTCTGTGGCTCATTACGATTACACGTTTAAAACTTGCAGGTACTAATGTGGAAACTCTCGCCTTTATCATTCTAGACCAGGCATAGGCAACTTTCGGCACTCCAGATGTTGTGGACTACACCTCCCATGATGCTTTGCAAACGTTATGGGTGTAAGAGCATTATGGAGATCTAGTCCACAACATCTGGAGTGCCGAAAGTTGACCATACTGTAATGCAGATTTTGTTTTTTCTTTTCTTTAGATCAGCCTAAAATGTAATTTGCAATCTGTAGACTACAGTGAATGGAAATCCCAGATCTAGTTATTAAAGCAATACAAACTTGTCACAGTCAGTAGTACATAACCTCTTAAAAGGTTGTCTGAACTCTGC